CTCAATGTTTCGATCGTTGTAAGCTCCGACAGTCTTCAGGTGACCGTCGATCCAGGTAACATTTTGAAGCCTTGTTGTCAAGCTTCTATCTCTGCCCTAGTTTCGTTTTTTTTCTTAAGGTATTAAGTAAGGAAGAGAAGCGACGGCCAAGGTGTTCAAGTGTCACAGCAGCATAGGAGGTGACAGGCTATAATATAACTAGGTTTATATTTTAGTTTCTTGTGAATTAAAGCGAAAAGTATATTTCTTCGTTAATTCGGTGGCATTCACTGGGTAGCAATAACTGAACAGTAATAGAAAAATCAGGACCAGATATTCGTAGACATTGGTAGCAGAATGAAAACAATCTACACTTTGTAGATTAAATAAAGGGTTCATTTCGAAATTCTTTGATTGCCTAGATCGACGAAAACATGAAGAAGGTTATGTTATATTTTAATTTGTTTATTTTAGAGTTGATCACCCAATACCAGGCCCATGAAGCACTCAGTATTGAGGGTTACTAAATTAGGTTGCTGAAAGTAGGTAGCAGTTGACTGTACACGTGAAAGGGTTAAGATTGTAGCGATCTGGGAAACTCTGGGGGGTCTGTTCCACAAAGTAGCGGATCTCGGAAAGAAGTTGTCGAAATGGAACTTCCTTCTTACCAATGGAATACAAAGGGAATGAGGATGATTCAACACTATGTACGTGGCATTGTGGGTTCTTCAATCTAAAGGTCTGAACTGGTGGAACTAAAGGTTTGAATTGGTGGAACTAAATAATGTAGCTCGTCAGAAGGTTTCTAAAACGTAATAATTTAACAGTCGTAGCACATCAGGCTTAATGACCGTTCCGTATAGGATACAGGTTCGATTCCTGTCGGTGAACGCATAATCTCTACGAAATTTCTCGAATATTCAGGCCAGTAAATGTAATTAATACTGTTTAATTAAAAGAAACAGAGCATTTACTCAAACAAGTGTATCCATAAAAAACATATAAAACAGAAAATATATTAAAATATTTGTTGGATTTAATCTATTTTATGTAATAATGTAAATAATTCTAACTCCTCGTTATCAGACCAAAAATAAAATTATCTTTACTGAATCTAAAGGATTCGAATGGTGATTTCCTAGTCTTAAAAAATAAATTCAGCCATATTTTCTCAAGCTTTATATCGTCAGATTTGGGCACTTCAACTTAGTGTAATGCTTAGAAAGTATATCTCGCTATTAAAACCATGGACGGAACATGTGAGCAACGATGAGGTTTTGGAGAGGATGCAAACAAGGAAGAAGCTTATACTTAACATCAGAAAGAGGCAGCTGAAATTTCTGGGACACGTAATGAGAAAGGAGAGCTTGGAGAATCTGATACTCACAGGGTGAATAGAGGGCAAGAAAGACTAGGGAAAGCAACGCGTGACATACCTAGCGGCTTAAGCAAGTGGATGGTAGAACAGGATCTGGGAGAAATAAGAAAAAGACAAAACTTATTAAGAGCTACAAAGGAGTGGAGGGGGTGGAGGGCTATGGCAGATAAAAGAAGAATCTTACTGAAATAATGAGTGTGCCGTCTGTAAAGATGATTCCCTCAGTAACTGGGATAGAATTGTTGATGAATTCTTGTCACGTCCGAAGGCAGTCGTATTATTTCTTTATAACCACGGGTGCAAAATACGACAAGGCTTTTCTTGATGTTTTCAATTGCCAAAAAGATTATTTCCTCGATATTTGCTTCAGTCATCAAGTTATGACACAAGTTATGACACAAGTTACGATACAAAGAGAACAGGTTTAAAATACAGAACAAAGTTGCAAACGGCAATTCACAAGACAGTATGAAAGGGTTTGGGAGAAGTCAGTAAAAGGATGAGCCCGAAATGCGATTTTCAGGCAGGGAACCCTAGAATCAAGTTGACTCGGAAGTTCAAATATCAAAGCGTTCTGACAGAGGACGGTAAATGCGACACTGAGATCCGTAGATGTATTGAGATGACCAAGGACGCATTCCAAAAGCTGGGCAGAGTATTGCGAGACAGAAAGATTTCTTTGCTAACGAAGAAAAGAGTACTGAGGTGTTACGTGACATCTGTCCTTCGTTACGGCAGCGAATGTTGGACGGTCTCTTCAAAATGATGAAGAAGAGACTCAAGGCGACGGAGATGTGGTTCCACAGAGGATGCTAAGAATATCATGGATCGACCGTGTGAACAACGATGAGGTCTTAGAGAGGATGCACACAAGGAGGAGGCTTATACTTAACACCAGGAAGAGGGAGCTGAAATTCTTGGGACACATAATGAGGAAAGAAGGAATGGAGAATCTGATACTCACTGTTCGAATAGAGGAAAAGAGAGACAAGGGAAAACAACGCATGACGTACTTATCGGCCTTAAGCAATTGGATGACAGAACGTGGTCTTAGGGAAGTGGCAGAGGATAGAACTTGTTGAGAATATGATCGCCTACATCTTGAAGGGACACGGCACATAAAAGAAAGAAGTGATTTCGATCCTCACTGGGTATCATATTTTTGGCCTCGTGCCATATCTAAACTACGCTTAGTAAATCGTTAGAAAGGCCTTTTTTTTATGCAGATATTTTAACTGATTTTGCTTTTATCAAAATATTTCATTATTTCAAAAGAATATTATGGGTTTTTAGATGATATCATCAGTCATGTGACTTGCAGAATATTTTCCAAATGTTGTTTGGTTTTAAATTGATGTTCATGATTTAGAATCACGTTTTAAGCTTTCCAAAAGTTTTGTCGAGCATTTTCTTAGAGCGATACTACCGACTTTAATGTTAAAAAATAACTTATTGATCCGCAAAAGTAGGTATAGATTTTTTCCTTCCTCCGAGGTATAAAATTAAGAATAACGATAGCCACATACTCAGATATTGTTTGATGAATACTTCCCAAATAATATTAATCAGAAAGACATTATCAGGTTTAATAATTGAACAGAAAAAATGTCGTTTGATTACTGACATTTAAATGCGGTGGGAAATCCTTTGCTTCGATGATTTTACCAGAGACCGGCGTCTAATATGAAAGTAATTTTATATAATAATAATAATCACTGTGCTTTCTGTGCGATTTAAACCGATTCTCACTGGGTGTTCCTCACTAAGTAGTCATGTCCGATACTAAGTTTTATATCAAGACTAATGGTGGTGATAATTCAGGAACGTTTCTAACGGACGACGGGGCAAAAGAGTTTCAAAATAAGTGGAAAATCCAAGTCTATGTTATTATTCTTACAAGTTTTAAAGAGAGACGAATAATGTAAATTAAAAGGATAACTATATATTCACATAAATATATATATGCAAACACACACACACACACACGCACACATATATGTTTATATTTAAATACGCTCTATCGCTTATATTGAGCATTTTATCCCATAAGTATAGCATCTTAAAACTATATTTATATTATATATATATATATATATATATATATATATATATATATATATATATATATATATATATATATATATATATATATATATATATATATATATATGTATATATATGTGTGTGTGTTTGTGTATTCTTTCTTGACCTCTTCTTAATTTTGTCTGTCTATTTGTCTGTCCGCCTGTCTGTCTGTATCTATCTATCTATCAGCATGGGTATATGTTTCTCCACATGAATGTATATATATATATATATATATATATATATATATATATATATATATATATATATATATATATATATATATACACACATTTGTGTGTGCGTTTGTACGTATGTGTTTTTGTATGTGTGTGTGTGTGTGTCCGTTTGGTACTGCTGCTTTGTTTTGAAGGGACAAAGAGTAAAAAAAATACCCTCAAAAGCTACCTTCTTTTAGTTTCCTTTCTGTGTCTGCAATCAACACTGTGTCATTTGCAAATCTTATGTTGTTAAAATTATGGCTGTCAGTAATGAATACTGGTAGGATTTCTATTTCTCTCAAAATCACTTCATTGTATAGATTGAATGTCTAGTGAGAAGACACATTCCTGCCTTAAACCACTTTCTGTTTTCGGATATATTTACTAAACCCATTTTTATTCTTATGCAGGCGGTTTATTGTCAGGATATGTTCTAGATTGTTCTAATATCCTTCCCAAATATGTCAAAGTTACCTAATAGTTCCAACTGTCCTTTGAGATGCACTTTATCAAACTCTTTTACATTATCCATAATTTGTATTACATATTGTATTTGTATCTGTATATGTTCAATAAGTCTGGTGAGAAGATGCATCCTTGTCTTACACCCCTTTCTCATTTTGTCTATCCGTATTTTTTTATTCTATCCGTAGCTGTTTGCTGCCAGTATAGGTTCTGGATTATCCTAATATCCTTCCCAAATATGTCAAAGTTACCTAGCAGTTCCAATTGTTTTTTGTGACATACTTTATCAAAAGCTTTTGTGTAATGTATAAAAGATAGGTATATATCTTTTTGCATTTGTATTGCACTTTCTGGTATTATTCTGTACAAAAATGTCGTACACCCTGTTCCGTTGACTTTAATGAAAACTGCACTCTTGTCCTATTTCCCGTTCTATTCATCACAATTCGGATGATAAGTTGTTTTATATGGCTCATTAAGCTGATTGTCAGATGGAGTTCACATTCGTTTGCACCTGCCTATGAAAATGGATCTACTTGGGTTTAGCAGTGTTATATCTGTATAAAAAAAGAGAAATATTTTTGCTTAATTGTTAAATATGCATGGAAAGAAAGACTTACATATAGAAAGCTTTTTGCATGAGTGTGACAGAACCTTTTTTTATGTCAATACTTATTTGTGCATTTCTTATGCTCATCTGTTTGCAAGATAGGCAGACTGTTTTGGAGTGCGATTACATTACATACTTTAATGAAAGTTCATAAATAAAGATAAGAACATTGAATACTATCAACGCACCTCTATAATGTATGTACATATATATGAATATATACATAGATGTAAAGAAACGTCTTTAGGTAATATACCTTAAGATATCCATCTGTCTGTCTACCTAAATCTGTTCCTATCTATCTATCTATCTATCTATCTATCTATCTATCTATCTATCCCAGTATGTTCACATTCATCTATCTCAGTCTCAATAAATAATAGCAACTCACCTCAAAAATATATGTGCATATATATGAATATATACATATATGTAAAGAAACGTGATTAGCGATACACGTAATACACTTTAAGAAATGTATGTATGTATGTATGTATGTATGTATGTATGTATCTATCTATCTATCTATCTATCTATCTGTTACACTCCATATATACCTGACGCTATTCGTATCTATCGCAGTCACATTGAATAATAGCAACGCACCTATATATAATATACCTCTATGTATATATACATATATATAAAGAAACGACATTAACAATACACATGATATACGCTTGATATACGTTATCTATTTACCTCTCTATCTATCTATTCTCATTAGGTGATCCATATGTTTCGCCTTGTGCCACATGTAAATTACGCTTACTAAATCGCTATCTATCTATCTATCTATCTATCTATCTATCTATCTATCTATCTATCTATCTATCTATCTACCTATGTTGGCTATCCACTTGGGAAGATCAGGTGCTGTAGGCTTGGATGTGCGGGCAGTGTAATGGATAATAGCTAAGAAGTGTTAACCAGAGATCCGAGTTCCAATTGCAGCTGTGTTCGCTATATTCACATACGCGCAAATATCCTCGTAAAATCTACGAATCCGTCTCTTCTCCCCCAGCTATGGGTTAATTAATAAGACTTGTATGACTAAATCAATATTATCTAAAAAAATTCTTAGAGTTTAAAAATATGGCTTTAAATAAACCGCAAACGGTTGATAAGCCGTGGAAAGCGAATCAGTCAATAAAAACAATATCTATCTATCTATCTATCTATCTATCTATCTATCTATCTATCTATGTCTATTCATACCTATCTAACTGGGGTACTAGAGAAAATTTCGCTGAATTTAGCAATCAAAATGTGTGCCTCAAAAGAGAGAAAGCTGATAGAAAAGAAGGTTTTTATTTCCTGATTGCGACACGTTAGGTTATTTCACAGATAAATAGATCAGACAGAATCACTACAACTTTTAAATGGCGTCGAGCACGCACATACACACTCATAAAGGGAGAGAGGAGAGATAAGAGAGGAGACGAAAGAGAGAAAGAGAGAGAGAGAGAGAGAGAGAGAGGAAGAAAGACAAAGTGCGAAAAACGTTGCGCGCGAGCAAAAAACTGTATGCGTGTACAAAAATTTTGAAATTCACTACGTTCAGAATTATATATTAATAGATACGTAGATAAAATTAAATCACCGCAAAAAGATATATATATGCATGTTTGCAAAATAATTATTTGCAAAAATATATATATATATATATATATATATATATATATATATATATATATATATATATATATATATATATATATATATATATATATGGGGTGGAATTGAGATCAAATAGAGATCGAATATGGATCGGAATCCGTTAGAATGATAGGATAATGAACAAATTGGAAACGTGTATAAATCTAAAATGAAAAACACAGAACATAAATCTGAAAAATACCAGAATTTTTTCTCTTTCTTTCTTCATAACTCTTTCATTTAATAAAAGCGAAATATGTTAAATTTAAGAAAAATTTTTTTTCCTATTTCTTCCTTTTCTACCAAATATATATATATATATATATATATATATATATATATGAGGGGAGAAGAGAGAAAGAGAGAGAGAGACGAATGATCAGAAGTGACAAAGAAAAACAAGGATTACTTGCCAATATGCAAATAAAATAGATAAAACAGTGGTGAAAAATTCCACTTGTCCAAACTGAGAACCTTTCAATTTTCCTCCGATCTAATAAATGCTGAGGAAATACCGTCTTATTTATCTCTCTCTCTCTCTCTCTCAATATATATATATATATATATATATATATATATATATATATATATATATATATGTATATGTATATATATATGTATCGAGATCCAGAGACAGACTGTTTTGATGCATCACAGCTCATCAGTGTGCCTAGATATACGATTACGTCAAGCCGGGATCGAAACCCAGCTTATTTGGCATCAGACGCAGATTCTAACCCTGGGTTGTAATCGTCCGGTAGAGAGGAAGACGAAAAGTACCTATTCTTCGAATAAACACGACAAATATATGTATGCATGTATGTATGCATGTATATATATTTGTGTGTGTATCTGTTTCTCGATCTATCTATACAATATTATACACACACACACACACACACACACACACACACACACACACACACACACACACACACACATATATATATATATATAATTTCCTGTATCAGGTGGACAGGAAAAATATGAATTCATTCGACTTTTTGATTATTACTCATATTTTGTGAGGCATCCTCAAATTATTTAAAGATTTGTCGGGTTCAGTACATATATATGTGTGTGTGTAATATATATATATATATATATAAAGATATGTTTAAGTAAGTATATATATTTATACTTATTTTCGTATACATTTCTTTTGAAATCTAACCAACCTTTTATTTTATGCACGCGTGTGTGTGGCCATGAAACTTTACTAATCAAGCGTGTAGAATTTTAAGGCCATTACTTTTAGGTTATTTGGCTTTTTTTTTTTTTTTGCTTTCAAACTTTCACCTTGACGTTTTTTTGCGTATTTTTTTCTCCTTTATATCTGGTGAAAAATAATCTTCTTTTCTGCCGACTAAAATGAGCGTAAATAATCGACAAGTAAAGCATTTAGGTGTAGAAAAAAAAAAAAAAAAACACATACGAAAAAAGAGACAAGAAAGACTAAATTCATGTCGATTTATCGACATTTTTGTTACCGGTATTTTCATACTACTAATAAAAAATAATAATAAAAAACGAAAACATGCTAATGAATGTAGGCCTGTTTTATGAATATATGTATATATCAACGTTCAACCTTATCCATTGAGTTGGTAAGTTTTTGAAGCTGCTGTAATATAGATACACGCATTGTGAGTTGTAAATTTTTGTCATGAAAGCAAAACTGCATTCTTTCATCGCATGTATGTTCATACATATATATATGTGTGTGTGTCTGTGTGTGTATGTATGAAGGTTAAATATCGGCGGTGAGGGGTAAATTAGATGTGAGGGCTAAATAAATATTAATTTGAAAAATTAAAATTCTTTTTATTTTTATTGATTTATTAATTATATATATTTATGTATTTATTCTGAACAAAAAAAAATCTATAAAATTTTACATGTTTGTAATTAGATGAAATATATATATATATATATATATATATATATAGGAGCCTTCAAAGATTAGCTAAAACGAGCATAATTCTTAAAAATGCTCAAAATCTTTGTATTTTATTCAGAGAAAACACCAATTTTTTCTGTAAAAAGATATTTTTACACAAAAATTTTTTACACAAAAAATATTTTTTTAAAATCGTTTGTTGAATCTTCGGAATTTTGGGTAAAAATCTTGTTTTTCAGACGTAAACAAATGACCATAAATTTTTACGGGAAATTTGAATATCTTTTTACAGTGAAAAAAAAAAACAACTGAATTTGAAATTCTTGCAAAATATGATAATTAATTGAGTTTTATTTTAATGAAACTTCCGGGTCTTATTCACAAATGGATGAAATTATTTTTGAAATGTTAATTTTAAGAAAATCTTGGTAAATGTATATTAGAAAACTATTCTTAGCCGACGCGTTTCGTCTTCTGAGGGACTTTTTTTAATCAAGGTACAGTTTTTCTTCTTGTCTCTTCATTCATATATATATATATATATATATATATATATATATGTTAAGTCTGTAGATACCCCTCCGGTGTATAGAACCACAGTTTTATCACGCTATGTGCTGCTGCTGTGGGTTAGGGTTGTAAAAGGTAACTTTAAGGTCCACACCGAAGCAGTTTCGAATTCAGATTTGTTCTTGCCGATGTTTTTACAAGGTGGAGTTACTAGCTACACGCCAAAATGTTTTACAACTTAGTATAGACATTCGTCTACATTTTATGCCAACCAAATTTAGTGGCCCTATCTACGAAGAGAAGGCATGGATTCATACATTTCCAGGGGTACTTGGATGAAAATAAAACACAGCGGCTTCGACACGACAATGCCACTTTTCAGGAACATGACACGAGCATCGTACATCTATTGCCTGATTGAATAGTAACTCCACATTTTAAAAATACTTATAATTGATTTATTAACTATAATTTTTACAAGAAATGGATATGAGAGGAAAGCGTTTAGCGTGATGTTTTATTTAAAATTCGATATGGACATTAGATTACACTACCAGCTTCTCGAGTCTCCCAGGAATCGCGTCAATTGATTTCACCAGGAACTCTTGTGATATGAAAGACATAACTTCTTGTCTTCGCACTTCAAGTTCTTTTAAATTCTTGGTTTGGGATAGTAGACTTGTTCCTTTAACCAACGCCAAAGTAAGAATTCAGAAGGTGTCGGGACCCCTTGCTGGCCACTCATACATAAAATAGGGAGTTACTTTTCAATAACCCAGTACATACTCATATACATATATACAGTAACGTGCAGAGATAAACTCCTTGATTATATACTCCTAAGACTCAAGTAAGATCGGCAGAGTAATGGATAGCGGCTCGGATTGATGAATCGGAGAGCCGAGTTTGAATTCCAGTTAAATATCTTACGTGCTAATACCCTTGGGAAAAGTATGAATCCTTTTCTCACCCACCCCCATCTATGTGTAAATATCAGGACAGATCGGGTTCTATAGCTTGGATGGCAACTGGTCAACTACAGAAAGAAATGGCAAACTAATGCGGGAAAAATGCCTCGTCAGTCATGTATCGAAAGATACATGATCGCTGAAGCGTGTATCATGCATGGCACATAACTGACTCAAGGAGGAAGCGTATTGGGGCCTTGTACTGAGAAATCTGAGAAAGGAAGA